GAATCAGTGTAAGCTGAACCGCTTTGCTTAATACGGATCACTCTTTTGGCGAAAAGCATCAAACGTTGATGCTAATATTACTCAAACCATAAAAAGGATTTAGCAGTTTTAACGAAAGAAAGAACAAGCACCAAACGAGAGAAACCAGCCTGAACTGTCGTTCCCCTTTCCCTCTCTATCACGCACAAGCCACTCTTGCTAAGAGGAAGTTCATACGGACAGCAGAAGAGTGGGAACGAGTGAAAGAAGCCGGAAATTCAGTTTGATGACCCAATTCACAAATTATGACATATTCAAATAACGAACTACTTAGAGAGTTCTTTTTTTAACTTGAACAAACATCCTGTTTTCAACTGTCACACTCGACTCCAGAGATTCATCGTCATCTCCTCCATTTTGTTCGCTTGGAATCAAGTCTTTGCCGGGTGAGTCATAAATCAGGTCACTTTTGAAGTAATAGTTGAATTCCATTAAATGTTAAATAGGATCCGTTGATTATTTGAGTATCCGGAATTAAGAGGTTTCCGATAGATTTTCTCTCACTGAAGCAGCCAGATCTCGGGGTAAACTTTGTTGTCAATTATTGTCAGGCTTTAGAATTTATGCGAAAGAAATTGCAATAGTGAGTTTCTTCCTCTTTTTCATCGTTCAAGAGAGGCAAACGAGGATCACGGAGAATTTGGAGAAATATTCCAGAGAGGAGTCGTTCTTTCTATCCTGTTAAACATGAGACGTGCCTGTCAATAAACTGAAAGCATATCTGCATAAAAGGGGTATGACGATTAATGCAATAAAAACATATCAGTTTCAGAAATATCTTCAGCTTGGCTTATAGGGAAGCCAACAGAAATTTCAAGCATTTTCTAAGCTTTATTTATTTTTTTTTTGCTGTAGCTGTACATTGCCTTACCATGAATGATAGCCACCCACACGTTCAACTCAGCAGCGCAACGTCCCTCGGTCTATCATTGTGGTTTTCCTCTTCTGGGTTAGCAGCTGTGACAGGAAACGCAATAATATTATGGTTGTTTTTATCAAAAACGTGTCTCTACGCCCAATTTCCAACCGATTCTTAGCCTCATTATCCGTAGCAGACCTTTTAGTAGGGCTTGTTATAATTCCTTTATGGATCTTTGTCATATATTGGTCACCAGTTAGCACCGTTGTTAATCTGTAAGGTTCTGTGGGTTCACACAACCGCCGCAACTACTTCGAACATACGATGTGTTTCTGTAGATCGGTTTATTGCGATTCAGTTTGCTTTCCGCTATCAGGACCTTGTGACTAGGAAAAGATGTTACCCGACGATTATTTTGGTGTGGCTATTTTCATTAATTATTGCTTTCTGTTTGTTGCCAGTTGATCATAGGCGCCTGTTTGACAAAGACAGGAAAATATTACTTTTGCAGTGCTGTCGATTTGTTTAGCTTCAACAACATTTTTTATTCAGTTACTTGTAGTCTCGTATTCATACGTTCGTATTTTTAAATCATCAAAAAAACATTTTTACAGAATATCAGCAGGAAAAAATACAAGAAAGTACAACGAGAATTATAGAGGAAGAACTAAAAAAAATTTTAAAGCCATAAAAACTATCGGTTTTTTTTTGAGTGCTTGTATTATCACACTGATGCCCAATTAAATTCTGTTGTTTGTTAACTGTTACCATGCCATAACAAATGACTCAGGTAAAATTCATACATCGGTCTTTGTCGCATAGCTTTGGGTTGAGGCAATCGCTTTCACTTCTTCAGCAATCAATCTATTTATATATTACTTTCGAAATTAACACTTTCGCAATGCCTTTTGCCGTACCCTTCGTTGGTTGCCCTGTGGACTCACGGGGGAAAGCTCACAACAAACCGGGCTGAAACCAAGGCGACGCCTGATGATACGGAATTATGTGAGATCTGGGATATAGCAGATAAAGAGACAGAGTTCTATGGACGTCTCAATCGAAACAAGAATTTACCTCCCATCGACAGATGAAGTTCAAACGGACCGAAACACGAAATGGTCCATTTTTTTTTTGTTTCTTAATAGTGAATGGAATCTCATTAAAAACCATCTTTGGATGAATGTTTAACTTTTCTTAATTTATATATGGTCCTCATATTTTATAAACTTCATGAGATTCTCGGGCCAAAAGTAAAAAATAACTTGTACGCTCGGGAGAACTGAGATAACCATACAATACAACTGCATGCCACCATTGGTTCTCAATTAACTAAGTTTCATTGTTTTCTTGATTTATTTCATGGTCGCCTTAAGAAACCCGAGAAAATTTGAATGGACATCATTATAGGTCTCAGGGAACCACAAAATGTGACATTAGTAAACTCCAGGAGATAGAGCCTTTAAAGAAAAAACTTGTAGTAAGGAATGGTATAATGCCTAATATGGAGCCAACCTCTGGTAAATGCCCTGCCGGGTTACCCTCAAAATTCAGAGTGACTTTCAAATTTTACCTTGAAATTTGCACGCTCTGCCAGGACCTTCGATTACAAAAGCTCAGCTTTGAAGTTCATTCGAGTAGCTTAAGAACCGATTTCTTCCGTTCGCTACCGCACAGTAAAATCTTTGAAAACATCCACAACGCTTCAGAAGAACTTAAAGTTTTATCAATTGAACGGAATACTTGTCTCAGTAAGTTTTTAATCAGTTGTCACCCACTCAGAGCGAGAAATTGATGTTCAGGATACCTTTGAAAACGAAAGCTTTCCATTTGCTGTTCTCGGTTTCATCAAACAAAATATTTAAACAAATTGTGCATAACTTCTTCGCTTGTCGATAAGCTGGAACTCAAACGCACTCGAGTGCTTGTCCCGCTAGTATTGTGCCTTGTACCTTTGGCTGTTTCTTGGATCAGAACCTACTGTATCTCGTGTATAAGATATTCTGGTAAGGCGTAAATTGCATGGCGTTGAATTTTCATTCAGTTTCGGTTGTAAAGCGATACACAGGTCATGAGATTCAAATTTTACCCTTTTTGTGGTCGGAAGTAACACTAGCTTCCGGTCGATTAAATTGAAAAAAAATTAGATTTAAAACGAATTTAGTAAACTCCTACAGCAATAACGAAAAGCGCAGAGTTCATTAAAACAATTATTTTGTTCGCACTGGTTGATTTTTTAAATGAACTTTTGTGAGGCCTTAATTCAAAGTTGCTGTAACCTTTTTGATCAATTTTTTATATTGGGAGCTGAGGACAGCTCCATCTGAGAAAGGTGAATATGTTGTAGGACAAAAATGGTATCAAAAAGATACCTTTATGTACGATTGACTCGTATGCTTTCCTATCGTGAATTCTGTGTTGAGCAGCTGTTCAGTCACTGTCATTATTAGCTTCATTTAAGTAAACTATGTTTAATTTTTTAAGTTCAATTCTTTCACGATGATTGCAGGTGTAAACAACTTCTACTTTTTATCCTCTGTGATAAATTTGTAATTAAAAAAAGTGTTATTGACTAGAAATATGTGAGAAATTGAGAAAAGAGCTGATCCGAGAAAAGAGCAAGTAATTCAAAGGAGTTTACTTTTTAGAATAAGATTTAACGTACGTTGTCAAATCTGATTAGCTACTGAGTTCGGAGTTATTTACCCAGAAAAGTGTAGGATTGGCAGCCCAGCTAGTGGTACCTTTAAAAGCACTGTGAACGAATTCTGTTATGTTTAGTGCTACTCGTCCAAGCTGTAAGTTTATCAAAAAGAAAATGGAGACTAAAGGAAAATACTAGCATATTGTTAAAGAAAAATCAACTTTTCTCGTAACAGTTAGCCGAAAAACGGACATTGATAAATATACTGATGACATATTCAGATAAAGAACTATTTGGAAGTCATATTTCATTTTAAACACAGATTTGTTTTCAATGGTCAGACTACGACCCAGAATTAGAGCTTCACCATCATTTTCTTCACTTCATTTCGCTCACTTGGAATCAAGTCCTTGGCGGGTAAGTCATGAATATGGTCACTATCACCATAAGCTTTAAACTGCTTTAACCAGGGGCCGTTTATAATTTGAGTATCCACAGCTGCATCTCAGAGCAAACTTAGTTGTCAACTATCAGTAATTTTCAAGCTTCTGAATTTATAAAAAGTCAAT